AGTAAGACTAAGACACGGTTAGTGACTCTCCCTGATGAGCTGAAGATGGATGGATGGATGAGTGGATGGAATTAAAACTAAAAAAAAACATATTCTGCACACACCATACTGAAGGCCAATGGTAATGAAATCCATCTGAGCCATTATCTGTGTAGGCGATTCTCTCCTGTTCTCCCTTGCCCACTTACCTTTTGTCCTTGGGTAAGCTGTAGTCATCACAGTCACAGGCATCAGCATGAGCCTGCGGCAGAGCGTCTCTCCAGCCTAACACATTATGTTTTGGCGTTTTGGGTCCCTGTGTTGTGCTCCTTTGAGTCTGACTCCCTGACAAATAGGGAAAAAAATGCCATGAGAAACGCACAGGTTTGAGCAGAGCTTGTGGTAGAGCCATTGTTGGTGAGTGAGAGCAGGGGGCTGGCCTCACCTGAGGTGCTGTTGCTGCCTTGGTCTGAGCTCTGGTGTGAGCCTGCTGTGCTGTAATTGTGGGGCTGACTGTAGCCCATGTTTTTGGGGTGCATCACTGACTCACTTCCCTGCAGATCTTGAGACAAAGAGGGAAAAAATCATTGAATTTCCACAACAATAATCCTGTTGTGTATTGAAGTGTTCAATGAAAACATGCATCATAACTTCAGTATTTTTATTATGGTATCAAAACCAAGAAACCCTGATCTGGCAGTGATTGTTTACTGACCCAAAGCATTAAGCACAGTTACATGAGAAATGCTGTATGGATGAATGGTGTAGAGTAGGTACTATTAGATTTTACTTCACAATATAACAATAATAATAATAATAATAATTCCCTAATGCAGGGGTGTCAGGTCAGTTGTAAATGGAACACTGTATAGGTCATTTGGTACCGGGCCACAGTGGGACACACTGAAAAAATGTACTTCATATTTACTAATTTACTTAATTAAAAGAAAATCCAGTCATTTCCATTTACTTACATTATTTAAAGATAATCTGGGAATTTTAAAATAATAGGTCATTCAGACTGATTAGTTAGAATAGATTTTTTTTTTTGAAAATCTAATGATCCTTCAATGGTACTGCTCTGTATTTGCAGGTGGTACTGGCTGTCCAGTCCTTGGAACCAAAAAGGTTGGGGACCACTGGTATAAATGTAAGTACTCCATAACAGACTAATACATGTTTCTGCGTTACTTATTATTTGATCTATGATAAAAACATTTAATTTCTCAGGTAAAAAAACTCTACTGCATGGACTTTACTAATTGCTTTTTTTTGTGGCCAGACAAAATGATTTGACCGGCCGCATTTGGCCCCTGGGCCTTGAGTTTGACACGTATACCCTAAGGGTAAAAAGCATGTCAATCTAAACACACTTACCTTTGTGCATCATGCTCTGCTTTATTAAATTGTACTGCATCTGTGCCGCCATCTCCTTTGGAATCGGCGGAGGGACAGGGGGCTTCCAGAACGGCATGTCCAGAGGGTCGTCCTGGGCTCCGCCAGAGGAGGCTTTGTTCTTGATGCTAACCTGGATTAGCTGCGTGGTGGCGTATGGAATGGGCTCATACGTGTCTGCCGAGTCTCTGCCCTGACTGGCGTAGCACATGTTGGCGTTGTTAAAGATCTTGATGTCGTTAAGTTTGTTCGACAGGTTCACGTCACTGTAGACGGCTGACCCAGGAGGAAGCTGGCCCAACTGTTTGTTTTCTGCATGGTTTCCATAGTTGGCAATGCAGTCAGCTGTGGTTTTGGACACAAACACAGAAATTTGTGGAAATGTTCGCTCTTCATCTCAACATTACATGTGTACATATTCCTGTATCGCCCTTTAATAATAGCATGTAGCTCATTCGCTTCATTTGGTCGAGATACTGACATAACAGTAATTATTTTTCAAAGTTGCCCAGTCAAAGTTACATGAAATCAACCAATTTCCAGTAAGAGCCTTCTTACTTAGTGTTTGGTCAGCTTGGATATGACAAGAAAATCACTTATGCTGAGGTCGGACTACTGCTAAAGTCAACCTCTATGATGAAATGGATGAAGCTGCAGACAATAATTAGACCTGATAATATTTGTGCAAATATTTTTTCCTCCACTGTGCAAAAAAAAAACAAACTTTAAAGAATAAATATGCTATAATTTCTTATAATATATAATATTCTTATAATATATAATGCAAAGCATGGGTCTCAACAAGGGCCAATATATTTGTTAGTATTTGAAATTATAATTTTAATATATAATAATATAGGCCCCCTCCTTGAACCGCAACCTTAACGTGGTGGAGGGGTTTGAGTATCCGAATGAACCTAGGAGCTATGTTGTCGGGGGCTTAATGCCCCTGGTAGGGTCTCCCAAGGCAAACAGGTCCTAGGC